ATCTATCTTATATGCCACCCACACTACCCAAAGGTCTCTGGGTGGCTTGGTCACAGGGTTACATTTGCCAATGTTGCCTGCCGCCAAACTTGATTTCTTCCTTATGGGCCTAATGAGTGTCTCCTTGAGGGCAAGGTTTCCCTGGAGAGATCCATTAATTACTGCAGTGGCCCATTCAGTTGTTACAGGCCTGGCTGCTTTGATTAGCCAGGCCAGTCAAGGGTCAATGTGGTGGTGGCATGACAGTGATAAACAACCTTGTCCACCATATCTGACATCATAGGCGGAAAATGATTACATTTCATTGGTCAAGGCGGAGCACTGGATGTCTCTACTGTTTTCAAATAGAGGATAAGATCCCGGCGGATGGCCTCCACTTTAGATTTTTTAAATGCCGTAAATTGGTCAGGTGATATGTTAGTGGGAGGCCAATCACTGTGACCAACTCCGGATAGATCGTGGACTATACGGAAAAGTTTCGCCTGCTGATTAGAAACTTTGTTTATCTGAACAATGAAGTGAGCTTGACTGGCAGCCCTCACCTTAGTAAGGTAATGGTTAGTCATGATCCTGACAGCTATCTGATTATGATCCGCCAGGACCTATCTCCATTTGCACTCTAGCCTTCTCCTATTCTGCTTCATAGCTCACAGTTGCTGCTTAAACCAGGGCGCTGTGTTCCTGTGTAAAGTAGCAGGCAAGATCCGATGGGTGGGGAGACTAAGTTGTAGCAATGTATTGTGAGTCATTACCACCAGCCCCCTAACATTTCCTGTCTGGAAATTGTTGAGATTCTTTTTATCAAGGAGTCTTTTATATTGCTTCTTAGTTTTCTACTGCTAGACTAAATTTAGCAAATTGCCAAGCCCCTGCTCTAAATTAGCAAATATTGCAGAACTGTCTAATCTAAATCTGAAAACCAAAGATTATGCTAAAATACAATAAAATGAATAAGCAATGTAAAATAGTTTAATAGCATCTCAAAGATAAACAAAACTGGGGAGGGGACATATTTGTGAGCAATGGCCTTCTTCAGATGCATCTAAAGTAGTACTGTACAGTATCTGCAGTCCACAAAATCTTAATTATTATTATTATTTATTTATAACACGAAACTGGGGAGGGGACATATTTGTGAGCAATGGCCTTCTTCAGATGCATCTAAAGTAGTACTGTACAGTATCTGCAGTCCACAAAATCTTAATTATTATTATTATTTATTTAATTTATATCCCGCCTATCTAGTCGTGGTGGACTACTCTAGGCGGCCAACCACATAAGACATGTTAGTCTAAGGTTCCTAAGGAACAACATTTAACTTCAGAGCTTTTTTGTTGAATGACATGAAAATAATCAAACTGATTTATGTGATTACAGAAAAATGTAAACATCCAGAATTATCTTAACAGACTATGATTTCAGTCAGAATCGCAAAGGAAACTGATTATCATGCAGCTAGTTACATGAGTAAATGAAGTGATCGCCTTCTGCAGCAGGTCCCTTCTACGGAGGTGGATGGAAAGAATAAGCCTACCAGAAAAGCATCTGACATTACAAGTGAGGCAGCCAACTAGAGTTCAGGAGATGTAGCCAGACACAGCAAACACTATTACACTCACTGTAAAGTTTTAAAAGTCCTGTTTGATTTGTTGATCCAACTTTCAGGTAAATCATCCCCAAGATAGCATTCTTCCACACTTCTCTCCTGGGATCACATAACTGTGCATTCCTTAGGAAAATGGTTCCCAACCTTTTTCGAGTCATGAGCTCCTTTTATAATAGCCAAGTAACCTGCAAACCAATACACACATTTCCATAAAAGGGCATTTTAATGTAGTAAAATCCCTTCTCCTTTCTTCCCCAAAAGGCCTGTTTCTCATGCATATACAAACATGTTAGCTTTAATATCCAGCTCCAAAAGGTCAAGGAAGAAATTGTTTAACATTGGCTGCAAGGCATATAACAACCACAACCCCCAGAAAACACTCTGAAACCTCCTTGGGGGTCGCAACCCCCCAGGTTGGGAAACACTGCCCTAAAAAGTACCAGAATATTCCTGGACATCATTAATGTATTCCCATTGCTTCTCAAAAGTTCTTATTTATTCTAAGATGAAATCTCACTGCAAACCAATAAAAGCAGCAAGGAGATACAAGAGGATTAGCAAGAACCTAATTTATTATCCTTCAATCAGTTAAATAACAGACATTTCTCAGGATCAAAACAACTACCTACTACCACCGATTTACATTAGATTAAACTCTTTCCAGAGTTGCAGTGTAATTAAAACCATGCTTAACCATTCTCAATCACCTGAGCAATAAGAGAACTGTAGAAAAATGTCCAGTAACATAGATAAGGTAAAGGTTTTCCTTGACATTTATTCCAGTCCTGTCCGACTCTAGGGCGCGTGCTCATCCCTGTTTCCAAGCCATAAAGCCAGCGTTTGTCTGAAGACAGTTTACATGGTCATGTGGCCAGCACGACTAGACATGGAACGCTGTTACCTTCCCACTGAGGTGGTACCTATTTATCTACTGCTAGGTTGGCAGGAGGTGGGACAAGCAACGGGAGCTCACTCCATCACGTGGATTCAATCTTACGACTGCTGGTCTTCTGACCTTGCAGCACAGAGGCTTCTGCGGTTTAACCCGCAGCGCCACCACATCCCAGTAATATAGGACCCACTAATTTCAGCAGAATCACTAAAAATGCAACCATTCCCTCTTTGCTTTGCAGCTTCAAATATCCACCTTCGTTGTCCTTCAATCTGTTTGTCACAACCCAGATTAACCATCCCCTTTCCATTACTTTCTCTCTGCTGAATGCCATCTTCCTGTTTCAAATGGCCCAAATGGAAAACTTCTTCAAAGTATAGTATTTTAAGGCCAAGCTAAACATGATGTGTGATTGGAAGGATTAGTTTTAAATGGGGGAAGTTAACTTTTAAAATATATTTTAGATACCAACATGATTGTTTTGAAGACCATGGTAGTAATACAGAGGCTAATTTGGCCCCATATCTGATCTTCCCAATTTAAAAAGTGTATCCATTCCCATGTTATGAGTACTATGGGGGAAAATACAAATGTCTTGCTAATTAGTAAAACAGAAAAAGACAAAGAGAAGATTACAATCATTATTTCCTATATATTAAGCTTGCTTCCCAAAAAAAGAAAAGGGAGGGAAGACAAGTCCCACATTTGTGGATGAAAGTCTCAGTTACCTGTTCCAACAAATACCAAGGTTCTCAAGATAGCTTAAAGGTTCATAATATAAATATACTGGATGCAATATAAATGATGTAACACTATACATAGGATTAAAGCAAATTATTCATCCCACTCAGAGCAGCCCCACTGAATTAGAGATATATGATTTCTGCAAATTTCCATTTTTTCCAGAAAAAAATGTTTTTCTATTTTTTTCCCAGAAAAATCTTTTTTGGAAATTTTACATCTCTACACTGAATGAATGGGATTTGGTCTGTGAACACTAACCTAAGTCCTATTGATTTCATTGTTCTACTCTAACTGGGCCTACCAGCTAGGTTTAGTCCACAGTTTTTTAAAATATCAGAAGACTATTCTGGGTGGAACAATGTTAACCGAGTGTTGCTGCTTTTAAAAGAAAAGACAATGGACACCAGCTAGGCTGCACATGAGTCCCATTTCAAAGGCAAATAGATCCACTACTGTTAATAGTTATACCACTAAAGAAAAACATACCCAAGGAATAAGTAAGGTATTGCTTCTGGAACCCAGACAATCACCTGTAATGTTTGTGTTATGGCTCAAAGGCTTCTCAAACACCCACACCCAGATAAAGAATTCTCAATCATTTCCATGTCTACAGCTTTGCTTAGCACATGTGAAGATACTTGTCCAGAAACAAGATATAAACAAAATTCTGAGAAAGAAGAATACACCAGCTAGCACCTTCAAAAACAAGAGGACATTCCAGGTTCATATGTCCTGCACCAGCAGTAAGTGGCAAATGGTGCCATAAGGCAGGTGATGATTGCATCATAGGGTAGGTCAGCTGTCTGAGGCGAACAGATTCCAAACGCAAAGAAAAATTTCACAGTGCGTGATAATCATACTGCAAACGATTAAACAGTCACCTATAATAACTGTTCTGAGACTGATCCGTCCAAGCAATTTTCTCTGCCTTACAAGCAGCCCGTCCTTATCTACAGAAACCACGTTTTCAAGGAGAGGGGAAGTGTCATAGAAGAGGCATCCCACTTATAACCCCTTCTGAAGGAAGCTGAGGGGGAAAATGCAGGCATCATCCGCGACGTGTACCGGATGGAGATCAAAGGAATGCCTACTATCTCTAGCCTTTCCCTAGACTCACTGGGGGATGACCTTGAGGCAATTACTGTACTCTCTCCTTCGAACTATCTCAAGAGGCACTGGGAGGATGAAACAGACAGCCGTGGGTTGTTCTTTTCGCCACGACTGACAGTCCTTGCAAGCACTCGGCGAAGTCGTGTTTTAAGCTAAAGCAAATGCCACAGAGAAAACCGGCGGGCACTCACTCTGTTCACGGAGGAGGCACTACATATAGACAACCCCCGGAGAAAAGGCGCGACGTAGATTTCCATCAATGAATTAATGAATCCTCTTCCCTCCCGCCGCTTGAACTCCACAAGGACCCAGCCCTACTTCCGAGTCTACCGCGGGGCTGGTCGCGTCTTCCCCAGCGGCCACCCAAACGAAAAACGAAAACCAAGCGGCTCCAGTCTCCTCAGGCGCCCCTCAAGCGCCCCTTGTCGCCCGCCCTTCCCCTCCCCTCCCCGGGGGCCGCTTCTCCCTTTCTCGGGGTGGGGGGGAGTCGCCACTTTTCGCCCTCTCGCCCGCAAACGGAGGGCGAAGAGGCGAGGCACCCGCAAGCCCCGTCTCACCCCGCTCGCCTCAGCACCAGCCCCCGCCCTCTCAAGGAGGTGGGGGTGGGGTCTCCGCCTGTTGGCGCGCTCCCTCGCGCGCCCCTCTCACCTCAGGAGTCCCTGCGCTGACGAGCCTCTCCGGGAAAAACCGAGCGGGCAGGCAACTCCCACCACAGCCCCTCCCTTCCCCGTCCTTCTCCTGCCCGCCGCGTCGAAGTGACTGCCGAACCTCAGACCCGCGGCACTCCCTTCGCCAGACCCACCCCCCTCCCTCCTTCCATCCCGTGAGATTGCGCCCGCAGTCCCTCTTCTGAGACCTGATTGGTCACCTCTGGGACGTGCCTCCTGATTGGACCATCCCAAAATTGCCGGGACTTCCCATCTGCTTCACTTTCCCCGTCTTTAAGGGTTTTTTGACCCAAGATTGAATCTTATTGGCTTCCCTCGTGCTCTTTCTAGGCTGCCAATCAACGTAACTTCCTGGTACATAACGAAAGCTTAAAAAAGAAAAAAAGAGGGAGGTCGGTTTTGTGTTGAGATGAAGAGGGTGACATTGAGAAAGCTGGCAGCTGCAAGGGGGAGAGGAGGTGTTTCGCTGTAGTTCTTTTTCCGCTTGCACCCACCCCGGAATTGGAAAGAGGAAACATACCTTGGAAATATGTGAATCAATAATGTCCGGACATGTGTACCCTTCCTAATGCATGAAAGATTTTATGAGGACTTCTAGGTCTGAAGGTGGCAGGATCATTTTAATTTCAGTATTTCTTGTAAATGTTTCCATTTCCTATTTAACGAAAACTCCTCAACACGCAATTTAAATCACATCGTAAAATTAGTGCCGTTTTAATGTAAGTTCAACCGGTCATTCCAAAAGGCAGTGATAGCCATGGGATACTTCATCCGGAATCTTAAAATAATTTGCCACCAAATATTTGCCGAACAGGATCGTTCGTAACTGGCATACCTCCAGTGCCTAGGAGTGCTGCAAAGGACAGGCTCCCTGCCCTGTGGGACTGAGGGCGAAGTGTTAACTGCACACACATTCTGTCAACTATTAACCACCTTCTTGAGTGCAAGAGTTAGGAGATGCAGGTCACTAGTCGTCGTCACGAGAAGAACGGAGGATTGTCACGAAGACAAATCGGTCCACTGAAAAGACTTAAGAGCTTTTGAAGTCCCAAACAGCCCTGACAGCTGAGAGACTTCGGAGCAAGGAGACAGGATTTGCCACGTCATAGGCAGCCACTTAAACTGGCGTATTGATGCCATTGAATTACCTCCTTTGTTTACAATACTTGAAAATGCCAATTGAATATTCTGCCTCAGACAGAAAAATGTATTTAGCCGCCTTTAGGAATGAAGAATGCCATTTACACCACTGGGCTGCACAGCATTTCAGCCTGCAAGTTATTTTTCTTTCTTTTCAAAATTGCCTGCTGCAGGCATCCTTCAGTCTCGAGAGACTAGGGTAATGTACTCTATATGGAGGTCTTGGAACAGCACCTAGTGTGGCTGAGAAGGCCAATTAGAAAGTGACAATCTCTTCCCACACTGAAGACAAATAAAGCAAAGTGTGCTGCTTATATACCGCCCCATAGCGCTTCAAGCACTCTCTGAGCGGTTTACAAGTTAATTATGCAGGCTACACATTGGCCCCCCCCCCATGAGCTGGGTACTCATTTTACCAACCTCGGAAGGATAGAAGGCTGAATCAACCTTGAGCCAGCTACCTGGGATTGAACCCCAGGTCATGAGCACAGTTTTGGCTGCAGTACAGCAGTTTAACCACTGCAATACGATCTGTCCCCTGTCCAGTCCCCTGGTTTTCCCAGTTTCAGGACTTCCTCTTTGCCTCAGCCTGCTGTACAAGTGTCTCTTCAAATTGGAAGAGGCCATGATGAACTGCCTGCCTCCAGGCTGAACGCTCAGACGTCAAGGTTTCTCATCTGTTGAGGTCCATTCCTAAGGCCTTCAGATCCCGCTTGCAGATATCCTTGTATCGCAGCTGTGGTCTCCCTCTGGGCAATTTCCCTGCATTAATTCTCCATACAGGAGATCTTTTGGAATCCAACCATCAGGCATTCTCACAACATGTCCAAGCCAACGTGGATGACACTGTTTCAGTAAAGTATACATGCTAAACATTCCAGCCCGTTCTAGGACTACTCTCATTAAAGGACCTGATGATGTTAAGGAGTCAAGGTGGACCTCCAATCTTGGGAAGGATTTTAAAAAGACCATCCCTGCTAACCAAATCAAAGGCCTTTGTGAGATCTATGAAGGCCACAAAGAGTGACTGTTGTTGTCCCCTATTTCTCCTGCAACTGTCTAAGGGAAAACACCATGTCGGTGGTAGATCTATTAGCTCGAAATCCACACTGTGATTCTGGATAGACTCTGTCTGCAAGCACCTGGAGTCTCTTCAGCACAACATGGGCAAGCAGCTTCCCTACAATGCTGAGAAGAGAGATACCACGGTAGTTATTGCAGTTGCCCCGTGTCCTTTGTTCTTATACCATGTGATGATGTTTGCATCCTTCATGTCCTGTGGTACTTCACCTTCCCTCCAGCAAAGACAAAAGACTTCATACAGCTCAGTGGTGATTATCTCTTTACAGCACTTCAGCACTTCAGTTGGGATGTTATCCTTCACAGGGGCCTTGCCAGAGGCAAGGGAGTCCAAGACCGCTTTTATTTTTGCTAAAGTTGGTTCACTGCCCAGCTCTTCCAAGACAGGCAGGCACTCGATGTTATTTAATGCCTCTTCGGTTACTACATTCTCTCTCGAATATAGCTCAGAGTAGTGCTGCACCCAGCGGTCCATCTGCTCTGCTCAATCCTGGATGATCATGCCTGTAGCAGACTTCAAGGGAGCAGATTTCTTCTGTATTGGACTTAAAGCCTGCTTGATACCGTCATACATTCCTTTGAATGTATCTGTATCTGAGACCAGTGCTGAAGCCAATAATCGTTAGAACATCTCCTGGCAGTCTGTTGGACTTTGCTATGAGCAACTCGAAGAGTCTGCAAGTTGTACTCACTAGGACAGGCTTTGTATGCTGCTAGAGCTCTCCTCTTATCCTCGATGGCTGGCAGGAACTCCTCCGAAGAGCTCTCCTCCTATCCTCGATGGCTGGCAGGAACTCCTCCAAATGGGCTTAGAACCAGTCTGCCGTCTGGACAAGGTGGTGTTATAAACAACATTCTTGAAATGTTCCCATCATTCAGGTGCATTTGCATCAGCTGGGCCTGGAAGGGTTTCCTCAAGTGCTTGGGCAAATTCCTCCACTTTTCTTTGACCGTGAGTCTTGTTGATGTCAATGGGTGGTCTTCCTTCCTTTTTCATGTGATACAATCTTTGTTTGCAGTTTTACTCTACTATACACCAGGGAGTGATCAGTATTACAATCAGCACTCTGGCAACTGTGTCTGATTGTAATACTGGAAAGGCTAGAACGTCTAGTGAGGATCAAATCTAGCTGATGCCAATGCTTCGATCTTTTCAAAATTGCCTGCTGAATGTGAGACTTTTGGTAGAACAAATTAATGCTGTGATCCTATACCCACTTACCTGGGTCTAGTATACTCTTCCACCAAAGGCTCATTCTTTCTTGCATAAGAGGTGCTCATACAAATGATTATTTTTCTTGCCTTGATTTGATAAACTACTGACATTATTGAGAAATGCAGAATTTAAATCTAATAAATATATTGATTTTGTCCTATTTAGAACAGAATACAATGCCTTTTAATAGTGCTAGGAATCACTCACACCATACTGAAGTATTCCTGTGACCTTAAGCTAAACTATTTTTTCAACTTAAAATGCCTCACAAATTTAGTAAAGTACTGTATAAAAAATAGGAAAAGCCATGCTGGGTCAGTCTGAAAAGGTTATCTAATCCAGCATTCTGTTTACACAGTGACCAATCAATTTACTACGGGGAGCCCACATACAGGATGGGAATGCAACAGTATCCTCCTTTAACAAATTTAATTCTTAAATGACCACTACATTTTAATACAGATAAATGTTGTACTGCTCTTACTGGAGAAAAGCAGAATATAATTATCATATCAGTAAATAAACATTTCTTGAGAGGAGGCATACCACTGCCACTGTATCACAGTACCAAAAGTGTGTTGTCCAGAAGACAGAAGATAATCCAATATTGGTCCTGTATAATAAAACAAGAAACAAATGTCTCTTCCAAATGAGGCTGCTTGGTCACAAAGGAGTGTGGACTTCATTGATATGCACTTATATCATGAAACCACATCTCTTTAGGAATCTCTAGAAATACTTTCATGGGTTGCTGCCTTGTCATGGCGAAGGGGCTTGAGTAATTCAGGGAAGCTATGGGCTATGCCATGCAGGAACACCCAAGACGGACAGGTCATAGTGGAGAGTTCTGACTAAATGCGATACACCTAGAGTAGGCATTGGCAAGCCACTCCAGTATCTTTGCCAAGAAAACCCTATGAACAGAAACAAAAGGCCAAAAGATATGACGCTGGAAGATGAGCCCCTCAGGTCAGAAAGCGTCCAACATGCTACTGAGGAAGAGAGGA